TAAATTAATAATATTTTTAATATAGTTTTAATTTTACTTATTTAAAAAATAAACCACTTATTTAAAAAGTCTCGTTACTTTTGTGTAGCGCTTTGAATAAATATATTAACGAAACTGGTATGGTGGGCTATATTTTATACTTGTGACCAGTTTCAAATGTATTGTATTATTTTTTATAGCATTTTTACCATTATATTGGTAAAATTACGATGAATTTTATATATTTATTTTGTTTATTGTAAATGTTGATGAATTTTCTAGATGGTGATAAAGGTAATAAAAATGTCTTCAATTTTATAGTACATCTTTATTAAACACTATAAATATATCTAGAGTCTTTTACTTGATATGGTATTTGTAAATTTTTAGTCACTGGTAGTTGACTTCTGAGGAATTTCATAAATTTACAAAAAATAATTATGTTAACCATATTTTGATGCCTATCTATCATCCTCAGAAAATTGGGACTATAGAATACAGTTAGCATTTTTAAAGATAAAATTAAAAAAACGGTAGCACAGTGTAAGCGTGGCATAGTTGGGACTAGTATAGATGATATCTAACAGTGATTAAAATCAATATCATAAGAAACGCTTCGATGCAAATCTGTAGATAGTGTTTAATTTTAAGAAATTGGTAGATAATTCAAAAACAAAATTCTAACTCAAAAAGAATTAAATAAAAAATCATTGCCACAGGCCATGATTTTTACTGAATCGGCAAACGTTCGTCGCATTCGTTTTTGATAAAATTAGCAATTTATGCTGATTTAAATGTTAAAATTAACTTTTTCGACTTAAAAGAAAAAAAAAATTGAAAAAGATAAACTTTATATTCTATTTCAATTAGTTTTATATAATATTCATGAATATCAATGTACCCCATTATGAGGAATATTAAAATAAATGAAAATAGAATACCAAGAATTTTAACACAAAAATAGCATATTTTTACCATATTTACCATGAATTAAACCATGTTCACTATATCTCGAAATTTTTTTTTTCATAGTATAGTATATTACATAAGTTTTAATTTAAGATAAAATAAAAATGTCAATATTTCCGGAAAATTTTCAAAAATTGAATTGAAAAAGTTTAACTTGTATGTAAAAATTGTTATTTTGAATCCCCCTGTGGTTAGGTCAAAAGTCAGATTGGCAAAAAAAGTATATTATATGAAAGAAGTAAACATAAAGTATTTATGAAAAATATTTCTGTTGATCCATACGTTTTTCAAAAAGTTATTGTAATTTAAAGTTAGAAAAATAAAATCTGAATTCATAAATTTTAACACCAAAATTGCATGTTTTTTAACTACGAAGAAGAAAAGGTGTCGGGACAAAATTTTTTTACTTATAGTGCATAACATTATCTTTATTTTAACATATGTTAAAAGCTCGCAGTATATCAGGAAAATTTTCAAAACTTAAGTTGAAAAAATAAATTTTTGTGAAGAAGTAGCTATTTTAAATCCCCCCCTGTGCCCCGTTAAAGGGTCAGATTTTCAAAAAATTTATACCAAATGAAAGAAAAATATCTAAGGTACAATATAAAAAATAAATTATTTTTAATTTTTAATTTTTCAAAAAGTTATGGCAAATTTTAGAAAAATAAGTTTAAAAAATGTCGAAATTTACCGATTTTAAATTTAAAAATTGTAATTTTTTTTGAGATTTCTCCCATTTATGGGGAACGAAGGATATTTTTTTAAATTTTTAAGGGTCTTTTTTAATGGTCTTCAACTAGATACGATTTGTGATCTTTTAATTTATTATTATAAATTGTTCTTAGTGAGAGTTGAGAAAAAGTGGCAACAGACACAAAAAAAAAACACATGATGGTAAAATTAATACCTTCTCAGTTTCGCAATGATGCTAAAAAATTTTAAATAGTAATAAAAATATTATTCAAGATTTTTGTATTATATTTTTACTAAATTATAGAAACAATATCCATGCACTACTGGAATAGTCTAGCAAAATTATAAATTAATAAAAAATTAATTGGCTAATTTGATTTAATTTTGAAACAGTTCAAAAATAAGACAAAAAAGTAATGAAAATAAAAATGAAAAAGACATATTTGAACGTAGTCAGGAAACTCAAAAAGATATATAAAGAGACGTAAAGACAAACAAATTTTAAAATAGGTGATATAGTATTAGTAAGGAAGTTTAGTAGAGGACAATTATAGATTATAAAAAAAATTATAGATAAATTAAATTAATGAGTATAAAAAAAAAATATTACTAAATATTTAATGTTATATTTTATTTAATTTATTATTTTATACTCTAAGATAAAGTGTATAATACCTTATGCAAATAAATTATATAATTACTTAAGAACATATTATTATAATATTACAATATTTAAGAATATATTTAAATAAAAATAATTGTAAATTTTCAACATTTTAGAGTTTTTAAAAGTGACAGAATTAATATTAAATCTACTAATTTATTTAAATTAATTATTAAATATAATATGTTGAATAATGAAATTGAAATTAATACTAATTACATAATTACGAAAACTATAAAAGGTGCATTTAATGATAACTCTATAGAGAAAAATCAAAAAAGTGTATAAGGATTAACACAAATATACATAGTCATACGAATATAGATAAATAATTTAATATATATAATGTAGAATTCCAAATTGATTAATAGCAAAAATAATACTATCAGGTCAAATCTATAATTATAACGTATATAACTAAAATGTATCTTATAAATAAAAAATTTGAAAATACTTGATATTCAAAACTATTTAACACCTTAATAAAAAAATTAACGTTCCCCAAGATTGTTAATTTACTCTGTGTGTATTATCAATTCAGATACAAACAATAATGGGTTAATACCCTTGTTGAACTAATTCAGAAACTCAAAAAATAAAAATAATCTAAATAATGTATACATACTATAACAACGTAATTAAACCTTTCAAAAATAAAAAATAAAATAAAATAATAATTATAATAATTGAAATATTGATTTAACGATTTAATAAATTTTTATTCTATCACATTTCATCTATTTGTCATAAACAGGGTTCGGGACTTATAGCACTTAAAATCATCAAAAAAAGCGCTTAAAATAGCACTATAAAACATAAAAAAAAGCACTCAAATAAGCATTCATAAATAAAAAAATGAATCAAAAAAACCCCAAAAATTTCTTAATTTTCTTTTAAATAATAAAGTACTAAATATTTGTAACTGTGCTGAATATACTTTTTTAGGACCTTAGGATTAAATACCACTAAAATTATTTCATTAAAAAAAATACGGGTATTTAATTAATTATTTTTTTTAATTATAAATTAAAATTAAAAATACAAAAAAAAAATATACAAATAATTAATTCTGAAAGAATCAAAATGATGTCTGACTTCGACTTTCAAGTTGAATGACAAGAAATGTTAAAAATCTTGTTTCAAAAAAATTAATTAAAAAATTAAATATAAATTTGATATCCCAGTATGCCATAACGGTCTAAAAATATTGTTTACCGAGAAATCCATTATAAAAAGGAAATCAACTAAGTACCACACTAGTATGACACTTCAATCATAGCTAAAGAAGTTAACGATGCCGAGGACGGCGTTGGCTATCAAATAGATAAGATAACAAAGACAAAACCCTACAAACAAGGAAGGCAATTGAATTATTTTCCTTATTAGATCTATCAAAAACCGATAAAAAAAACCTGGGTAGGCTGCGTTATAAAGAAAATATTTTAATGTATGAAAACAGAAAAAACAAGAAACAAGCATTTGTTTTTTATTAAATCATCGAAAAAATCGGAAAAAACTAAAAATAAGCGTTTTTTGAAAAAATCATAAAAATAGCTAAAAAAAGCATTTTATAGCAAATGCTATAAGTCCCGAGCCCTGGTCATAAATATTTATATGCTTCATGGTACATCAGTGAATAATCTGTTAACTATATAAGTATAGTTAAGTTTGTTTGTAATTAATATTTCTATACGATATTAATTTAAATATTTTATAAGTTCAAAATACATATATTGAATAAATAATCTATTATAGTACAAAAAATGTTATAAATATATAATCAAAAACTTATACGCAGTAAAGAACAAAAATTATCATTTATTTTAAATTAAGATAGAATATATGTTTATATATGAAAAGATAATAATTTAATAATGTGTATTTTTTAAATTAGTTAATAAGTTAGTAAACCTAACTCAGTTATATTAAATTAGGTTAATAATAATAATTAAAAATATATAAATTGCACGATATTTGTTAAACTATTTAATTTTAAACATATAAATTTAAAATAAAAATCACATACAATCATCTAAACAAGTCTTCCATCAACACTACATTTAATATAGAAACCTATCAAGGGTAAAATTAATTCGATCAATTCCTAGAGTATACACATCATAGCTCGAATGTGTCGTATACTATTCTGTCTACAAAAAACCCATTCTGATCATGATAATTAAAAATTGAGTAATTTCAAACTACCTAAAAACAAAGGGAAGATCAGCTCTCGTTATTTTGAGCTAAACCCACTCATGAGTATCGAGTGAAAAGAGAGGTTCAAGCCAAAGTAGTATAAAAAAAAAAAATTAAACAAAACTATACAAGAGCTCTTGGTAAATATCAAATCTCATCAACTTGCTAGAAGAACACAATATAGGATTTGGTTTTAACAGTCTTAATTTTCATAACACTTTTTAATATTCAATCACACTTTGGAAAGACCACAGGAAAAACGATAAAGACTTTAATTAAAAAATAATTGTACTCTGTTTGCATATATAAAATTTTAATTTCTTAATTGTTTTAAAGTAATGGAAGCAATATTATAAATAATAAGAATAAATATTATAACACTAGAGTTGGAGGGATGTTATTGAATCCGATATGAGGATGGTTGTCTAATGCGTAAATGATGTAGGAGATCGTGTCAAACAGAAGTTTAGGAAAAGGGTGGCCGATTCCAAGTAGTTCTAAGATAAAGCCTCGCCTTTATCCCAACTACTTGGAATATATATTGGAGACTAAAAAGAATATAAGAATAAATACTACATAACTTAACACTATTATAACTAATAAGCACCCTATACTAATAGTACCTATATTAGTCACTACACTGTCGTTAACAGTTAACTCATTAACAGTTTTAATTCATAACCTAAAATACGTTTTTATCAAAATATCTAATACAATGCTTTTAATAAACGTGATAATTCATTTTAAATATCTTTAATGATTTTAATACTCGTTTAATAACTACCAACACGAAAGAGCTAACTTTCATCTTCTTTAAGGTTTGCTACTGATCAAAATATTTCAGACAAGAGAAATTTTAACACACTAACTACAATTATGAAGTGATTATTAGAAAACAAACTTGTATTTTTAATGTTATTAACACTACTACTATTAATCATATTTTTAGTTATTGCAGCACTGTGTAGACTACTCGAATAAAACTCAATAAACAGTACCAGGAGGATCAAGAGGAGTGCAATGACAGTGGGCAATTTGATATCGAAGGCAAATTTCAAAAGTTGCATAAACAGTATCAGCAATTCAGAAGGTGTATACGATTTTTATGATCACCTTCGTAATTGGTCACAATATAGTCCAGTTGTCTTTTGTCGACGGTCAATGTCGCAATGCTATGCGACTGACAGTTGAAGACAATGGCACAGCACAATGTTTGCCTATCATTTGAATGGCTTATGTGTTCCTCTGAATGCCACGTGAATTATTTTTATATAATATTAGCCGTTAGCTCATAAGCGCTCTACTCCATAATTTTCACGTTGGTCATCAATTGGTATGTGGAAGTCTATGTTTTTGTTTATCATTTAAGTAATTATTTAAAATCATTTGAATAATAAACTCTACACTAATGAAATGTTTCATGGAACTCTTAATGTATTACTCAGTATACCTTGTATTTAGATAACATAATACAACCATTTGAACACAATACGTATTTATTATTAGACTTGTGACGATAACTTAAATATTATTTATTTTGAATAACGTACCTTTCAAATGTCTCACATCGAATTCTATAGACACAAAGTTAGAACAGTTTTTGTTACTTTTGAATTATAAAATAAAGTTGTAATTTTTAAATTATACGTTTAATTTTCTATTAAAAAAATGTTCAATAAATTATTGTTAATAAAATAAAATAAGATTAAACTTCCATGCGTTAAAAATTGTTTTATACGGAAATTAGAAAAAAAAATAATTTAACACATAACAGGATTATTGATTTATCGTTGACTACTAGATTTCTTCAAAAATACTAATACTTTTGAGTATTTTTATTTTTAGTTAATTTAAGTGCTATTTATTTTTTGAATTTTAAATGGTTAAAGACTTTTTATGTTCATTCCTTGCTCCTTAAAAGGGTACCGATTTAATTTTATTAAACGGTAGCATATATTTTAAATAGACATATAATAGAAAATGATACAACTAGTGAAATCACTGAATGATAACAACTTAAATCAGGAATTTGAATATTTTTATACCTAATTAGAGAAATGCAGGTTTTAAGTAGAAATATGCATAATGAAAAAATAAATAATCCTCATATCACCTCCAGTCTACATTTAAAATGTTAATAACTTCTGAAATACTGGTTAAAAAGTTATCAAATAAAAAATAAATAACAATAAACAAAATACAATTTTTTTTTTCAAAATTATTACTTTAGGAAAAATGTAGTGATCAAAGATAATCAATCACCTTGTACGATTTATGTATTTAAGTATTATAATAATGTTAATAAACTATTATTTAAAGTCTACTCGTTTGGAATATTTAATACAATAGTGGAATGAGTTATTAAAAAAATTATTGTTTCCCTGATGAGTGGATTATTTGCACAAAATTACTAAAATTCTAAAATCTAGTAACGTTAAGAGTATCTAATTTATGATTAAATTGAAGAGTATGAAATTAATTTTTAATTATTATGCAATTCTTATTTGTCATAAGTTTAGACACTAATAAATTTTGAAATTTCATAGCACAATTACAAGTTATAACCATAAAACTTACGATTAAACACCTTAATATTTTCTGAAAAAAATATTTATTACCATATATTATTAAACCATATATTATTGATATTTAATTATTAATTAACATTTTTTATGATTACATACTTTCAAAGTGGTTTGTTTTCTTTCCGCAAAATTTACAATGAAGAGGATTAGCTTTATTGTTTTGTGCTTGAGTTATTAAGTTATTTGCACAATATAAACATAACTTGTGCCCACAAAATGGACTTAGTAATGATACACCTCTGTTTAATAAACAAATTTTGCATTCACCATCATCAACTGTGAAATTATATGATTAATCGTTAATTTTAGATATAAAAGATAAAAAATGAATTAAGCACAAATTAATTTTCAATTAAATAGAAGGCTGATCGAGCAAGCATGTTAGCTAAGTTAAAAAAACATCAGTCAACCATTATTATGCTTAATGTCTTAAATGAAGGATATTTTATTTTTAGTATTATTACCATCATTTAATATAAAAACAAAATTTGCTTGAGATAATTTAATGATCTAAATTTTTGTAAGATGTAAAAGACAATATTTAAACTTCAATACCACCTTTATAAACAAAACAATAATGTGATTATATATATAATGATGATTACAACAAAATCAAAAATGCAATTTACAGCTGGGAAGAGTGTAGTGAGTTGGAGTAATATTTTAGATTAGTAATGACTGATATCTGACAGTGATTAAAATCACTGTTACAAAAAGGAAGTGTGTTTAAAATATATTTAAGAAAAATTTATCATATATACCAAAAGTTACTTAATTTTTACTAAAGAGGTTGATTACTCATAGAGAGTAAGTTGTCAAATATCGAAGACTTAAAAAAAATAAAGACAATTAATGTTTTTTTAAATCTTATATTACATAAAAATTTTATTTTCAGTTAATTTTGAATGATGCATATGTTTTGTTATTGTGCTAAAAAACTAAAAACTAAAAAATCGACCACTTATGCCGAAAACAGTATGTACTTTTTGTTTCAATAACTTTTAGTAATTAAGTTTTATGACAGTTATTCTATTTTATCTTAAAGTATATTGTAATAGTTTTAATTTTATTCAGTCATAAAAGAGTTTTTTGGAACATTATCAAAAATTGTAAATAAAAAAATATAATATAACGCTAAGCCTCTTCTTAGTATTTTGATTAGTGTTGGATTTAAAAAACAGTTTTTCGTCAGCAAAGATATATGAATATAATATATATAATATATAATATAATGTAATAAAATATATGAAATATAATACGTTCAGTTTTTAAAAAGTTATTTGAATATAAAATGAAAACCAAAAATGAGTTTTTTTATTACTATTATAATTTTTTGTGACATTTTCCTTTTTTTTTTACTCTATTACAAGGATTGAGAGAAAATTTTAGCTGAAAATGTATTAATTATACTATAATGTGTTTTTTTTTTGTGTCTGTTCCACTTTTTCTCAGCTCTCACTGAACCGATTTTTTTTAACAATACGTCAAAAGATCACAAATCGTATCTAGTCGAAGATATTACCCTCAAAAATTAAAAAAATTCCCTCGTTTCCCGTAAATGGGGGAAATCTCTTAAAAATGACTAATTTAAAAATCGCTAATTTTCGACATTTTTAAAAGTTTTTTTAAATAAAAACCAAAAATCGAATGCTACCTGATATATGCCCAAATAATATCCTTATCTCCTTAAATGAGTTATACCTGAAGGATAGACTGGCAATCGTGTACATTATTTACTACTGAGATATTATACACCGTTTTCAGTAAGTAAGGAAACATGTAAAATGCTATAAACAATAAAAACAATAGAAACCTGTTTTCTTTCTTACTGAACACTCTATTAATAAAGTTACACTATTATTTTATGTCAACGACAAAGTAAAGTCATATTTAAGATTAGTTATTTCTATTAAAATTGCCATATTAACTCATTTTATTACGTCCAAGGGCACGGATTTATCTTAACGGATCATTCTAAATTTTGCACAGCTCATTTTTATGTGTAATAAAAAAGCATAAGGAGGTAGCGTTAAACAAAAATCGAATAATCATTTGTCCTTCGGAAAGCTTGATTTTATACCGATTTGTCTATTCTTGAACGAAAGGAGCTCGATAGATCCCGCGTATTAAAAGAGTATACAAAAAAAAAACATTTAATTCTGGATTATAATTTCAACGACCTCGCGGTGTGTTTATCGTGAAACGAAGTTTATAAACTGTTATTTAATTGTATTTACTTTTGAGTGAATTTGCTTGGATACCAAATAAGCGCACTTAAAGTAAATAATTTTGAACGAATCACGGCGATTTTTGTGTTTTGAAGAGCAATTGAAATTTTTAAAATCCTCGTAAAAAACGTACCAGTTGTCTGTATACAGACCTTACCGTCGTATATTGAATCATTTTCGGCACACGAAAATCACGACATGTTTACCAACACCGTATTGGCCACCGATCGGTCAGAAACGACCAAAGCTAAAGTTGCCTACGGTGCCAAATTACTAACCACGAATTCAAACGGATCTTACGCGGACGTGACTGCTACCAAACCGGAATATATCGCCAACACTGAAACGATTATGAAATCAAAGCCATCGGCTACCGAACTGATAAAAAACAAACGAAACAGTACTACCGATTGTGACTTAACGCTTACAAAAGTCAAACGGCTTTCACAGGACACCCCCCCATATTCTTGCATGTCCAAAAAACCAAAGCTTACTACGAATACCGACAACTATGCGACAAAAAAGATTACGCAAACGACTGACGACGACATCGATAAGCCCAACGGATTAGTCCTGAAAGTCTGGAGGCTCGACGAGATACCATCGATTTCCCTCGTCAAGAAAACACCACCTCGAGTTGACAATTCGAGTACAATGATTGAAACAATCGACATAGACTCGGCCGACAGCGAAAACGATAGTTCCTCCTCAGACGGTAAACGACTAGTCCATTAACTAGACTTAAATAAACGGCATTATTAAATAATATTTGAAAATAGATAAATAATATTTTTTTAATTATAAAACCGAAAAACTAAGCAATCGGATTAAAAAATAAATAATTTTGCTTGCAGACGTGCCGCGAGAATTGAACGAGAAAAAGAAGAAACCGCCCTCATACGATTCGTTTCTCACTCGCACGACGTGGTACAGCGGCGACACGATCGACGCGTATTTAAGTCTAATTGCTTCGCGTTCGCCAGGCAAAGTGCACTACCTGATCTCCGATTTTATGGAGGCGCTTTCCCGACGGGGATACGCCGGCNAAGGCGCTTTCCCGATGGGGATACGCCGGCGTGAAAAAGTGGATCAAAGTCGATGTACACTCGTTAAGACTCCTGTTGGTGCCGATGCACGTGAACGGCAATCATTGGACCATGACTGTGGTCGATGTACCCGAAAAGACCATAACGTTTTTTGACAGCTACAACTCCTACAATGGCCCCTACCCATCGTTATTGAGACAATTTCTTATCGACTGGGAGATCGAAAACTACGGATATTCTTCCCAATGGATTTTACGGTACGGAAAANGATGGATTTTACGGTACGGAAAAGCGGTGCAACAACGCAACGGTTATGATTGCGGACCGTTATCTTTGGAGCTGGCCGAGAGGATGTCCAGAGACGACGACACACCGATCAACCCCTTCACAATGCCTTTTATCCGGTTGAGG